AAAGTAAAACACATTCGGTTTAGAGGGAAAATATAAAATAAAATGTGTTAATGGAAAGAGTCTGTTTTAGAGACGCAAGGAGCAGGAAAGACGTGAAACATAAGAAATATAAGACTTTACAGACGGTGGGAGTTCAGGAGGATAGAAAACGGATAAACTATTGATCCTCTTTGAGTCTAACAGAAACGAGGGACAGAAAGCGCAGTTTTTCAATCTCCTCGAAAAAAAAATAACTTTAGGAGAAAAATCTGATCCTCTTTGAGCCTAAAAAAAATCTAAAATAAGGAGGAGCAGACAGAGCAGGTCAGCACACCGTATTCCTCTCACCGCTTTATGGAAAAAAGAAAGAAAAACTGATAAACTTCCCAGATCTCTGAGAATCGCCTCTCTGCCTCAGTCGCCATAGAAACCGCCCCACAGAGTTTATTGCTATGATTTTATTTTCTTTAGACGTAGATCTGATGATGTTTTTAATAGATGAACATCCTCCATCTGATCTGGTTTGAGTTGCTGCACAGACTCTCTAAGTGAGGCTTTGCTTTATAGAATTTATACCTCAGACAGAAGCTAAAACTATCCGTGCGTATCTGCTCACCCCGCCTAGCCGGAGCTTCTCTACACGCAGTCAGTGTGATGGAAATGGAACCAGAGATTAACTATCCGTTCGCCTCCGGTGTTTCTGGCCTTTAGGACCAGGGCAGTGACTATAACAGGGTCTGTGTTTGCAGCTGCACAGCGTGGATCAGAACAGCGTCACCTCATCCTCATCGCTGGAGGCCATCATGGATCGAGCCTACGAGAGATACGATGTGGGACTGAGGAGAGTCCAGCTGCTCTACAGCAAGTCAGGTGAGACGCTACGACATGTCGGCTTTAAAGGGGCGGATGTTTCCAGATGTTCAGGGAATAAATCCATTTCAGGAGATGCCTGGAAGTCGGCCCGCCTGCAGAGTTCCTCCGTCCAACACATCCTCCAGCCGATGGACCTCACTCTGCACCTGGCCAAGTGTATGGTGGAGAAGGACGCTCGGATGCCCAGGTATGCCCCCCCCCACACCCCCTTCCACCCACCCGCTGCTTGATACTGAAAGCATTTCTTCCATTTGGCTGCAGGTTCAAGGTGTCCGGTGAGCTGCCTCTAATGCACGTCAGGATCTCTGACCAGAAGATCCAGAAGGTGCTGGAACTGGTGGAAAGCGTCCCAGTGCCAAAGAAGGACTCTGCTCCCTGCAGCCCCACGGAGAAGGTCTGCATCTTAAGGACAGTTGGTGCTCCCAGGATTTATTTAACAGTTTATCAGGTAGAATGATAAGAGACGATTTAACTTTATATTAAACGTTTATCTGAACGAGGATCGTCTCTAAAGCTTTTAGTTAGTTTAAAATCAACCGATCAACACGGATTCTCATTGATCTGGATAATTATATGATGAAGTTTTTTTCATTTTAAAATTAAATGAGAAAAACACAGAAATTCCTAAAAAAAACATTGTTTTTTCTAATTAAAAAGGTAAAAATAAAGACATGCTGAGTTTATTAATGTGCTGCTGGAAATGATGCTCTAAACGTTTCCTTCCATGTTCAGTCAGTTCTAACCCACCAAACATCTTATTTAGACTAAAATAAATTAATGTGTTTAAAATAAAACTGCCTGCATGAGAAATCTGACTCCATATAAACCCAAACAGTTCATGGTTTTTATTCAGCGGATCATTAAAAACCATTTAAAGTCATTCATTTATTATCTTTTAAATTAAGGCTTTAATTGGCATTAAAATTAATTAAATTTGATTATTGTTGCATTTAAAATGCTTTATTTTTAAAAATAAAAAAAAATTATAAAAACTATTTCGTCAGGTAGATTATATAGGGATATATTTGTGTGGAACTGCTTCCGGTTGATGGTAAAGTCGTATGTTCTTAAAAAGGGAAAATGCTAATTTCAACAAAAGTTGCTGGAAAAAATGTGGGACAACCTGGCTGCAACCTGTCAACGGTAAACATGACCAAGGATTTTCACACGTTATATACTGTCTACACACATACATATATATATACTTAAATATCACTCCTACAAAATTGTTTTTTTTTTTTTTTCTCAAAACGTCATTAATCCCACCTGGTCGCCCCCATTTTTATATATTTATATCAAACACAGCAGTACACTGCAAAAACGAGCTAGAAATAAGTACAAATTTCTTAAATTAAGTGTATTTACCCTTAATTTGAGCAGGTAAATTAGATAGTTTGCTAATGGAATGAGTATTTTTACTCTTAAAATAAGATAATTAGATAATATGCACTTAAAATAAGAGAATTCAACTGTGTTTTCTTATTTTAAGTGTAAATTGTCTTGTTCCATCGGCAAAATGTCTGTTTTACTTCCTCAATTCAAGAACAAATGCACTTATTTTAAGAAAAAATGACTGATACAGATTTAGATTTTTTGCAGTGTATGCTTGAAATTAATACCAATTAAAGTTTTACCAAAATAGACCAAATGTTATACATCTTTAGAAAGCTTGAGCACTAAAGCACAATTAATAAAGATATAGCAGGATTTGTAAATGACTTCCTACCTTTGAAGCGTTCCTGAGGCCGTATTATAAATCCAATCTTAAATTGTTTATATACCATTTGTCTGTAATGGTCCACAGATTAAAACGTATCAAAAAAATTCTAAGATGAGTAAATTGGGACATAAAGTCCGTTTTTTTTAACCATCAGAGTAGTTCTCTCCTTACAGCTAATGCTGAGCGGTACACGGTTATGCATGTGCATTTCTTTTTAAATACTGCTGACAGCTCTGCAGAAACGGTTATGCAGCAGATGAAGCCTGATCTTTCTCCCCACAGTCGCCTCATTCTCACATAGGAGGATTTAATAAGCGCAGAATGAGCGTCATGGAGAATGTTCAGGCCCGTTAGGCTGTACTTCTGTTCTGAAGCGTGTCTTTCTGTAGGCGTTGCCGCTGTCCAGGGTTCTACCTCCAGCTCAGACGCTCGACCCCACCCTCCTCGACACATTTGAAACAGGTGAGCCGTTCATCCCCGTTCAGCTGGAGAAGAAGCCTCCAAACGCTGCTCATATGGATGGACATGCTGGAGGAGAAGCTGCTTCAGATCTGGTTCTCCTGTTTTGCTTCCAGACTCTGAAGAGGAGGCTGGCGACAGGCTGACCAATGAGGAGCAGCAGCGACTGACTCAGGAGGAGCTCATCAACGTTCACTTCAAGTTTGAGCTCAAAGAGGTCTGCTGGTGCCCCTAGTGGACGCTTGGTGTTAGGTAACCAACCTCTGACTCTGCAATATGTGGCTTCCCAGGTGCTGTTGGAGCTGACGCAGCAGGCGGACCAGGAGAAGGCCGTTCTGTCCTTCAACATCTCGCAGCTAGGAGCCGAAGGCAGGATGCGCAGCTTCGACCTGAGCGTCGCCTCCTACCTGCGGCGGCTCGCAGTCGACTACTGTGACGTACCAGGTGATGGCCGTACCTGTTCCGGGCCTCGGGTTCTGAAATGTTCTCTGTGGCTCCAGAAGCTTCATGTTTCACAGACCGACAGACGGATGCTGGGGGGGGGAGTAACAGGAGATAAACATGAACTCATTCATCGTTTCTAAGTTCATTTCCCCCTGAAAATGAATAGTTGCTGATACCAAAACTTTACCGTCAGATTCTGACGGTAAAGTTTTGGTTCCAACCTAAATGAGATGATGGGTCAATTTCTGCTGCTTGGTTCTTAAAGGTTCTGATCTGAGGATGAAGGTCCTGATTAAAGCGTTTTGGTTCCTGATAGGGTCGGGAATTGAAAAGATTTTTACGATTCCGATTCCCTTTTCGATTCTATGAAACGATTCGATTCTTTATCGA